ACAGTTTAAGTTTATACTGACATTTATATGCGCAATCCTCTCCAACAGCTCCCGCTTCACTGTCCGCCATTGTTTTTAAAAGTTCTGCCGTCCGGCCTGCAAGGCATCTTGGGAAATGTAAACCATACACCGGAAGGATACACCGAACTCATCCTTCATACAGGCGAAAAGAAGGCCAGATTCGTCGGCCGCATTTGAAGGAGTCTTTGAATTGGGACATGCCTAGTCGCGGCGCTGTGACGTAACCGGCCGACGAATCCGGCCGACGAAGGATGCAGACCCTGAATTGAGACACAGCCACTGTTAGCAAGGTTTTGATAAACTTCCAAGTCCCTTGTAGAGAGATGTTTTTATTTCCTGTTGTTGAAACAACTTTCTCAAACCTGAATTTCAATCTTGTATCAGTTATTAACCATGTAATACAATCCCAAAAGACATTGCTTTATCTCAGAAGGGGGGGATATTTAAACTTTTCTAACCTCCTGCATTAGCTAGTTGTGCTGCTATGCTAGTGCTAACTTCATACCAGTGCCACAACAAATTTATTTATTATTATGTTTTATAATAATAATAATAATACATTTTATTTCAAAGCGCCTTTCAGGACACCCAAGGTCACTTTACACAAAAGTGTAATCTTAATCATCTGTGTATATGAAAACCATCCATCCTTTCATTTTTAACCAAATAACACTAGCAGAGCCACCATGCCATCACTAGTAGAACAGCCTTGAGCAGTCATTTTGACTGCTGCATTTACAGGTCAATAAAAAAATAAATACCTAAATAGTCAGTTATCAGTTGTTCTAACGCCATCTAACAGTCATGTTTTTTTAAGCCACTGGGCCATTTTCTCTCTTCCTTTCTGTTTAAGTTATAAAAGACAAAATAATACATTACAAGGAAGAGAAAGGCTGATCCAAGGCTGGAGATGATTTTTGACTGTGGGCTTGATGTTATATTGTTATCTTGCCCAGAAAAACCAGTGACAAAGTCTCTGGAGGTCAAAATGACTGCCTGTCTGTCGTTTGCATAATAAACATGAAATCCACATTAAATGAACATTTACACAGAAGGTAAACTCATGGATGAGCAGGGCTGCATGTTTTTATTTGATAAAGTATTGAAACATACAACCAGTCAGAAAGACTGCCATCGCCTTTTTAGTGTTGACACTGAGGATGGTCCCAGGGATCTGCCAGTCCATCACAGGGACACACAGAGACGAGCAAGACAACAAAACCCCTCGCTCACACCCTAGAGTCTAATTAACATGAAAGCACTTTTGTTCTGTGAGAGAAAACCCACAAATACACAGAGAGAGGATGCTAACTCTGCATCTTAAGGCTGCAGCCAGGAGTTTAAGTACATTTATCTGGCTTTTAATCACCAACTGTATCTGTTCAATTTAAATGTGTAGAAGTAGGTGCAGTTACTGAAGAATCAAGACATATCAACCCCAAGGTATTTACTAAACAAGCAGGGGCCTCAGAGGCATGTGGGTGAGTCAAACACAGCCACAGCAGCCTGGCTCCTCCTCATGCTGGTCACCAGCCTGGTGCTGCCTTTACCCAGACCTATCACATGAGACAAGCACAGAGCAGACACCTACTGGCACCCTTAGCAGTGATGGTGCTCAGAAAGTGGTGCCAATCAGGCACCAATCAGGCCCCCTGATTGTCAGCACCTGAGGTACATGCAGCTCAAAAACCAAGAGTCAGCAGCAGAATGAGCTGTGTGAGAAACATCAACCTTCAGAAACACAGGAGCTCACGCTTTTCTGTAATGTTGCTCCAACATTTCTCCAAACATCTTACTGAAAAAAAAACTTAAAACGATTATAAAATTATCTTAATATACATCTGAATTATACAGAAGCGTGTGAGTATTAAAAAAAATACTCGTGACCTTTTAACAAAATGTCACTTGTGAAAATTTAAAAAATAAAACCACAAGTTGTTTATTTAGATTTAGTAGGGCATTCAACAAAAGAAAAAGACCCCCCTTTTCCAGCGTTTTTTATCTCTGGAAGCAGAGCGGAGCAGTAATTCATTCCCGCTGTGAGGTACACAGTGGCAGCGGGAAATCTCTGCCTCTCCCAGACTTGAGCCGGATGAAACCTTTGTGATTCTCCAGCGGGATCCGTGTGGCTCTCTCTGGGAAATCAGCTGGAATGTGTCGTACAGTCAAAACACTAATTATGATCCGCGGCGGTTGTGAGTGGTTGGCTGAGGCGCGCAATTATTCACTCGGCAGGCTGCATCTAATCTTTGGTTTTAAGCTAATGAACTGTGTGTTTTCATGCCTGGTGTAAGGCTCTGACTGAACCAGTCAAAGGAAAGTTGCCGTCTCGGGGAGTCCAGCGATAGCTTCCACCTTCGGGTGACTGAGACTCCTCTTTTCTCCTCCTTTACCTCTGACTTCCTTTGTCTAATTGTCCTGCTCCTGTTTTCTCCCCCCTCTCCCTTCTGAGGCATTGCTGCTGTATCAGACCAGTTAAATGCTTGGCCTGCAGTGCTGCTTAGTTCCCTGTGAACGATGCTGAAACTCTCCCTCGGCGGAGGCAGACAGGAAGCCTCCTGCCTGTTGACACGTTCTACGGCAGAAGTGATGACCACAGATCCTCCATCGTCGTTATTACAGCCTCACTTAAATCATTTGCAATCTGAACTTTTACAAACAACTGCTCTGATTTTATCTCAATTTGTGTTAATGAACCTTTTATAATCATGTCTAACGAACTCTTCTATGGAGTCAGTGTGTGGGGTATCGACTTTATGCTGTTTGTCTCTGCAAGCCCGCGGATAGGAATCAGTATTGTGTGATACAAAGGCTATAAGATGAGTTTCCAGAGCAGCTTTCTTTGTCTTCTACAAGGCAAGCAGGAAGCTGGGATGGGATGAACGTCTCTCTGAAACACAGATGCTCACAAAGGCTGCACTGTGACCAGTTACTTTAGGAATAAAAGGCAGCTGATGCTGGTAGCTCCAGGAAGAGTGAGTCAATGTTGTTGGACTGTTAGAAGACCTCTCACCATCTACCTTAGCCAGCTACCTCATTAGGTACACCTTGGTAGTACTAGGTTAGATGGAGGCTAGGTAGATCCAACAAAGTGTTGGAGACATCCCTGAGAGATTCTGGTCCATTTTACCATGACGACATCACACAGGTGCATCCATGAGAACCTCCTGTTCCGTCACATCCCAAAGGTTCTGGACTGGATTGAGATCTGCTGACTGTAGAGGTGATTGGAGTACAGTGAGCACATGGTCATGTTCTAGAAACCAGTTAGAGATGGTCTGACATTTGTAACATGACATGGTGCTTTATTCTGCTGGAAGTCATTAGAAGATGGGTCCATGTGGTCATAAATAGAAGGACATGGTCAGCAACAATACTCAGGTAGGCTGTGGTGTTTAAACCAGGCCCAGGTGATGGGTCCAAAGTGGGCTAAGAACATCTCCCCCACACCAATTCTATAGTCTTAGCAGACAGGAGACTGGTGTGGTCTTTTGGGGGAGACGGTGGCACAGGAGTTAAGTGCTCGCCCCGTAATCAGAAGGTTGCAGGTTCAAGTCCCGCTCAGTCTGTCGCTGTCGTTGTGTCCTTGGGCAAGACATTTAACCCACGTTGCCTGTTGCTGGCCTCGCCTCTGTCAGTGCGCCCCAGGGCAGCTGTGGCTACATTGTAGCTCATCCCCACCAGTGTGTGAATGGGTGTGTGAATGGGTGAATGACTGGTTGTGTTGTAAAGCGCCTTGGGGGGGGGGGGGTCTAGGACTCTAGAAGGCGCTATATCAAATACAAGTCATTTACCATTTTGCTGCTGGAGTCCATCTGCTCCGAGGTTCATCATGTTCTGGTTCTGAAGACCTTGGTTTGGCCTCTGATCTCAGCAGCTGCTCCTCAATACTCTTTCTCTTCTATGGACCATTCTAATCCTGTGGGTGAAGATCCCAGTAGATCAAATGGTTCTGAGTTGCTTAAACTGGCCTTGTAACAACCTTTAAATCTTCTTTTTTCTTCCTTTTGATGCTCAGTTCCTACTTAAACACTTCATCTTTACCACATCAGGATGCCTACACCCACTAGTCCTCTGCCATCTGACTGGCAGATTCCAGACTCGTAGTTCAGTCCTACAGGAAGTAGAGATGTCGTACAGATAAAATACAATAAGCACAATACAACATGCCAGAGTTTGAGACAGAAATATCATAGGAACAAAAAACACGAGACAATAACAACAGTATTGTTGTGAAAAAGTTTACTTAACCCTAAAAGTTAAATAACTATATTATAAAACTGTAAATAAATGAAAACATGTATAAATTAGACGCAGGGATTCCCTAACTGTGGTGCGCGCACCCCCGGGGGTGCGTGAGCTGCCTCTAGGGATGAAAAGTGTAATGGCTGCGGAGCTCAGAGAAGTTTGTCATATGTCACCATTAGCATAGCCAGAAACTCATTTGTGGGTAAGTTCATGTCAGCGTGTTATGGGGCATGTCTGTGTTTTCCTCCATCTTACTGTTACAGGCAGACATCTGTTGGTGCACATGTCCACTCACACACGTACCAGTCTGACTCCTCCACCATCCTTGAAGACAATGAGGTGTTACATTACTGTGCTGCTGAATGGTCAGGGTAAACCGAAAGGACAGTCCTTCAGCACAGACCTCAACTCAGACGGTCAAACATCATAGCTTCCGTTTTGTTTTATCTTCGTGAATTTATTTAACACGAGTTGTTAGTACTCACAACCTCCCTCAAACCTTTTATCATGAGTGTGGACGATGTGGCAAATGTGTCCTCTGCAGGAGTAGTCGCTGCGAGAAGGACAGTGATGAAAGGGGGGTGGATTGATGGATGTGTGAAAGGTGTAGGGATGAGTGCCGAGGTGAAAACACAAAGAAAGTGAGAAGGAACAAAAGGAAGAACTTAAAGGCTGAACAGAACAAGTAAGCCGACCAGAAAACTAATCTGACTTCTTTGTTCTTTCCACAGCTCGTCGCCTCTGACCTCACTGGATGAACACCTGGACAGCCGCCCAACACAGATGCAAGCTTGAACGCTGAATACTGATACAGAAGGAAGAGACCCACTGGAACACTGAGTAGCAGTGATTGAGTGGGCGGTGGGAACCCCGCCACGGATATGAGTGATCCCATTTCAGAAACATTTAAAGTCTATGTTCCATCTGGCAGGAGATGTGGCCAAACACCAACCAGCGGCACAGGACTGCCTGGCTCAGCGTTCGTCTTGGGATCTTGTTTCCAATGGCTTATTGGAAGGAAATGGGAGGTTCAGACCTCAAACCACAATTAGGGACTGTTTGCAGCTAGCAAGACTTTACTTCCACACACTGCAAAGGACCAGACCTTTATCTAGTTCTTTCTTTAGCTCTACTTCTATTCTTCATTTTCTCCTTCCCTTTGGTATCCCCCTTATACCAAGAATCTCCTCTCTGCTGAGTGTGTCTCTTCCCACATTGCGTTCATGTATCTAGGAATGGGAAGAGTGAATTGAAACTACGAGTCTTTCAGTTGTCAAGAGTGTCCATCTCTCAGCGGAATGGGGGGCCCAGCAAGGGCTCTTCTTGGCGGGTTTGGCACCACCACCTCCTCCCTGGAGGTTGGAGGTCGGATAGGTTTGCCAAGCCACAGCCCCCTGGACCTTAACCTAACCCAGCCATGGGGAACAGGAGGCAGCAGTGGAGGTGGAGGTGCAGCAGCCATGAGTTTAGGGTTTGATAATTCTACCACGCAGGAGTCCGTCACCAGGACTGTGATCAAGGAGAAAAACTGGCCGGCGCTGCTTATACTTGTGATCATCGCGTTAACGATTGGTGGGAACATCCTGGTGATTCTGGCGGTGTCTCTGGAAAAGAAGCTTCAAAATGCCACCAACTTCTTCCTGAGGTCACTGGCTGTAGCAGACATGCTTGTAGGCATCCTGGTGATGCCCATCTCCCTCATCAACATCCTCTATGGTGAGTCTAGCTAGCACAAAAAACACATGTATGATCTTCTTTTGATACACAACTATCATACTGAGGAACACGCTGCAAACTCAGGACGTTTTATCTTTGGGCATGGTTAATAGCACCATGAATACTGCATTGGACTTGAACTACACAATGTGACAATATCATATATCTACTACAACGTTTGAAACTCCTACCTCTCCAGCTAATGTTAGACTCCATCACTGATGCATTTACCTGAGAAAACAGCTCTGGGAATTGTGTCAGACCTGTTGTAGTTACAGGTTGTTGTTTAGGATTAGGCTGATGTCCTCATTGACCTACAGTTAGCAACACGCACGTGTTTCTAATCACTGTGCATTCAAGGGCTGTAGCAATGTGTTTAGTAATCATGATGAACAGTGCTGTGTGTGTGTGTGGCTGAATCACTATTCCCGTTGGAGGAAGCCATATTGGATTCAAGGTCAAGGCTATGCAGGAACTCAGAGTCTGAGTAGAAATTATGACTGAATACAGGTGATTTTACAGTGTGTGATTTAATTATACCTGCAGAAGACAAAACATCACTGAGGCCAGTTCACATGGCAAGATAATCCTACTGATATCTGACCCGATCCTCTCTTCCAACAATTTTAAAGGTGTGGTTAACTGAAAGAAAACATTTTAAATGCTTTTAATGATTAGAATCAGTCACTCTGAGTTTTTCATGCAGGCTGAACATGAAAATAGTCTCCTACACCTATCTCCTGCATTAGCTTCTAATAGAAAATGGACGGTGAAACTCTAGGATTAGAAAATACTCACATGTCGACATCACAATGTGAATTAACATTCATGAACTCACCCATCTTGACTCACGACGGCGAAGGCTGTTGTTGGCTTAACATCCAGGAAGCAGCAGCAAACGTGTCGGCTAGTTTAAACTAACAGTTGGCATTAGCAACTTCACTTCACAGCAGAAGCTCCTCCAGACTTGTGTCATTTAAGGAGATAAAACATCCATGTTGCAAGTCAGCGGTAGAGTCGCATTGCTGTTATCCCATCCGGAAAAGATGTCCAAATATCAGGAAAGACGTTAAAACAAAGAAATCAGCTGTAGCAGACCACAAGGGACTGGGACAAAACAAGGATCATAAACACAGAACAACAAAAATATAAAAGATGGTTTAAAGAAGCCATAGAAATATGGAGACGTGGACACAGAACCATGAATAGAGACAAGGGAGTCTACATGTTGGATCACGCATGGGACTGTGTCATCAACGAGGAGGGCACGGGCAGCAGAGGGCGACACCTTCCTTTGCTGCCCGCAGATAAACAAAGAAGGAAGTGATGCCGCCAACATCATCACAGCTCTGATGATGGCTGCAGGAAGTACGTGAAACGTTAGCTAACAATGTAAAGAACAAGTTTTCTTTTCTGTGTTTAAAAGAACCAAGACATGCAATCAGGAAATAGGACTCCAAATTCTGTCGCCTGAAGCTCAGCTGTGGCGTCACAGACTTGGCCCTGCCGACACAGGTGTTTGCGGGTAGGCTTGGACGGTATTACCGTATTACCGTATTACCGCTGGTGTTAAACAATAGAAACTGTGTCAGTTCCAATACCGTCATGAAAAAAAAGAACAGTGCACGTAGGAGACAAGGACAAAAAATAAAATAAAACTAATTTCATGCATAAAATAGGAGTGTGGTTGAATTTAGAGTTTTTCTTAAATAGTTTAAATGTTTTGTCCAACTTTAGAGCCGTTCCGTAAAGTTTATGAATGTGATGTCATGACGTGGCAGGTCAGCTTGCGCACCAGCGCACCTGTCTAAACGCAACACACCTTCTGCAGTTTGGGAGTGTTAAGGGTTAAATGAAAACTGAAAAAGAGAGCTGGTAAACACTCATGAGGTCATTTGTGCCAACAAAAGATGACCGCAAAAGATGCACACCCTGTCGGCACAGCAGAGGAGCGACCCGTAGCTGAAATTGCAGCCTTCTGTCTGGAGCCTGAAGCGACGACAATGCGCCTTTCTAGTGGAAAATAAGCTGCCAGGCTTCCCCAGATGTCACGATTAGCCCCAAAGTAACCAGGTGTCTGTCACAGGCTAATCGAAGCGGGGGGGTTTAGCAGTTGGAGGTTGAAGCCGGTAAAGGTAAACATTATTGTTTTCTCAGGCATAAAATAACTTTTATGAGCTACATTTTTAAAAAGGTGCTAATATTATGTGTGTCATGTTGTTATCGCTTTAGTTATAGTGTTTGTTATTCAGTTTCTGAACGGTGAAGGTTCAAACCAACAGTTTGGTAATTCCACTTGAGGCTTACATCATTTTTAAATTAGTCCCGGTAATACCGTACACCGCGGTAAAATGTAGAGGAAGCTAGACGGTATTAAAATTTGTATCCCGCCCAAACCTATTTGTGGGCATTTTTGTACCCCGATTACTGCCTGCAAGGCATTAATTCCTTCTAGAGACCAATGCAAACATATTGATTAAACAATAATCCACTACTTTAAGGCTGTGCCCAATTACCGTAATGGCTCGAAAGATAATTTTATCAGATATTCTACCCATGTGTGGTGTGTTACCAGTTCTCTGGTCTGCTCTGAATCACATCAGCTCGGGGTTTTCAATCATCTGGGAGTGTTTAGGTTCGATTTTCAAGGACAGGCAAGAGTTCTGCCTCCTGAATGTGATGTGATTGTTTTCCATCACCTGTGTGGTCTCGCATATTTAGAAAATCATCTACTTTAAAAATCCTACCGTGTTACTTGGGCCTTAGTCTAAGACTATTAGGTACTTCATCACACACAAACTACATACATGAATGAATGAATGTGAAAACTGTCAAATGGACCGATCCATTTATCACTCAATAAGGTCCAAGAACACCAAACCAAGACTGGAACATTGAATAAAGAGGCAGATTCATGGGGCCTCATTTATCAAGCTTGCTTACGCACAAAACGGGGTCATAAAACTGAGTAAGCAACTTTCCACGCAAACTTTGGGATTTATGAAAGAAAACAGAGGAAAAATGTGCGCAACTTTAAGTTGACTAAGGACCCACATTTTGGACATGGAGAGCACCTGCAGTGCTGCTGCTGAGAAGGATAAAATTATGACATCCTGCAGCATTATCACTTGTACTGCTTAGTTTTCACACAGAACAAGATCCCCCACACGCGCGCACACGCGTGCACGCACACACACACACACACACACACACAGCCTGAAGCCAGAATATGAAATGCAGAAATCAGCAGGGGGACACATTGAGACAGAATGTCATGCGTCTGTGACAGCGTGTGTGTCCTGTGATTGCCCTGGCTACTTGGACAAGGTAGATCTACATTTGGCTGACTGGTTAGCGTGCATGATTTACCCGGGAGTCTGGGGATCGAATCCTGATGGGATCAATTTTTTTATATCCGCCACAGATCTCTCTGAAGAACTCAGCATTGACGGCTTCAGCAACGCTGTGCCACTCCAGATTTTCTCTTATTTGTTTTGCAAAAGCACTTCCTTTCATTTCTCCTTCTCACCCACAGGTACCTCAATTTCTGCTTGTGAAATAGCGCTTCCTTGATTTGCGGTCGTGATCAAAATGCTGCAACAGCCGGCTTATGTATATGCATGAGATCCACAAGGCACTTTGCACTGACTATTTATGGCAGTAAGTGGGCGTGGTGAGGGCGGGATGTGACTAAAAAGCAGCTGAGAAACATTCTCGTTAGTCTCCGATTTACGAAGCGGAGCTTGCGTGCAGCTGTGCGTACTCCATGTTTGATAGATCACAGACCTGCTTAGCGTAAGTAAATATGTTTTTGCTGAGCTTAAGTACGGTTTTAGTAAGGATTCTATGCAATGTTTGATAAATGAGACCCCTGGTCTGAAATTCTTTCATCATAGCCGGAATAACCAACCACTGGTGATTAATATGAATACTTAAACATTTTACTGGTAGATAGAGACATGAAACGACCCCCTAGACTCTGTTTAGGAACCAGGTTGAATCTGTATTAGTTATAAAGCTGACAAAGGCAGAGCAATGACAACTGGGTTCAAACGAAAAGAACTTTGCATTTTAAATAATGAGGAAATGATCCTTTGAATGTAAAAAACGTAACTGATTAGAAGCTAGAAGGTCAGTAAATTACAAAAACATACAAACATGCATGTTTTAATTAAATAGATGAACCCTCTAGTTAGTATATTAGGAAAACAGATGACCTGAACAGCGAGTAAAGATTGATTTTTTCTTTTATTATTCCACTGTAATCAGACAGATTTATTTCCAGTAATCTGAGCCAATATTTAAACAGCCCATTCAGCAGAATCCTTCCACTGATCTGGAGCACACACCCACTCACCAGCTGCTGCCAGCACACTGTGACAAGTAAGCTGTGATGATCATTTCAAAGTACTTTTTCAGTGTGAACATTTAAATGATTATTGCTTCAGCCAGACGCGGTACGCTGGTATTTTACAAGTGATTTGAGTTTCAGAGGATGTCAGCTTGGTAATTGGAGCATCATCCCAGCCATCCTTTGCTGCTCTTGTTTACTGTCTCAGGATTCTGCACCAACGCCCTCATTAGTGTTATAGGATGGTGAATTTCTATCCAGAAAGGAGTGGATGTATTTATTTATTTTTTCAAGGTTTGCATTGAAGCTGTGTACCCAGTGAATCTCAGCCAGGTCTCTGTCCTAACACCTCAAAGGAATGTGCCAGTAAATGTCACTATCACAGAGGCCATCACAAAGCTGTGAATGTGTGCGAAAACCTTTTTTCAGGTATATTCACAAACAGATGTCAACCTTTTGCAGCGTTGGTGATGGATTTTAGCTGATGTCATGTCTAAGCATCAACTTATAATTCAAATGTGACAGGAAATGAAGGTTTTATTTGTATGGCGCTTTATGTCTGGGTGGATTAGAGCGACTATGTAAAAAGGCCGTTAGTACCACTCAGTAAAAGCCACAGCCTACATGAGTATTCCACCTTTTAGTTCTT